TGTGATTTATTGCATTATTCCGAAAATCAATTGTGTAATATAAAATTTTGTGAGGTCATTATCAACTGTTTTAAAAATTTAAACTTTCATGTTAAAACGCGATCCAACGTTTCATTAATCTAACGCTTATTAGTGGGCGGCATCGCTGGTGCAAATGTCTTGGCGGAGTGGGGAACTTTGAAGAGAGGTTGGGCTTCCAGGAAATGGGTTCGCGACACGTGGCGGAGGAGTAGGGCTAGAGAGAGACAGAGATGCCAACCACTCCACTTAGAGAGAGAGACAGACAGACAGACAGACAGGGGGGGGGTGTTTCCTTCGTGGGAGAGTACAGAAACGTCGTTTCGGGGAAAAACGACGGGGCGGGGGGGAATAAGGAAACGCGGAAGAACCCCCGCAACAACTCCGGTCCATGCGAATGCAAATATTATGAATTTCTTATTCCCAACGCCACGTCACCTGAAACCCGGCGTACTTAACTCCCATGCATTTTCCCCCAAAAAATTCAACTCCCCCTTTTATTTATTTATTCATCCATTCATTTGCTTATTTTTTTTTTTTTCAATTTTCTTTCCTTCTTCCTCCTCTTTTTATTTTTTTTCGGGATGAGAAGATTAGGCCTTTCTTTATTAGGGCCATATGAGAAGGTTTCCGGTTGAAACAAATTATTTACGGCGAGTTAATTAGGTTCGATGCGCTGTAAGGATTTTTGTGCCGGTATGTTCTGTCTCGTTAGTGTTTCTCCGAACGGAACCGGCTGGTCCGACGGGGAGTACTCAAATAGCACGCGATCGAATCGGTTTAACCTCGGTCACGAGTCATGACTCCTCGATTAGAGAAACGCCGAATCGATGACGACAAAGCCGCCGCCGCCGCCTTCTTCTCTTCATTTTCCTCGCGTAGCACTCGCAAAAGATCTTGGGTCCACCGAGTTCGTGTTAGAATGGACGGGATTCATCACGGCTCTTGGTTTTAGCAAGTTCCATGTTAAAATACCTTTTATTACCTAAACGAAAAGGTTATGACATATCGAGCTCACATAAAATATGAAGGTAGCTATGTTAAACATGTAGCTAAATAAAAATATCAAGCTCACATAAAAAAAATGGAACTTACTAAAACCTTCGAGGACTCCTAGGTAGCTACGTTAAACATGCGGCATTGTGCTAAAAAAAACACTCGAGAAATTTCTTTGAACGAGCACAAAAAAACTGCTTTTCAAATTTTTAAATTTTTTTTTCAAAATTAAGATTTGATTCGAATAATCAAAACTACTGAAATCTGAGTACATATATGCCGATTTGCTATGTCCATATGATATGAATTCCGTCGATTTTTCGTATCAAATTTTTAATTCTCCTAGTTTTAGCCACGAAACTAGGAGAATAGAAAAACCCAAGAGAATCACAAATTAATAGCAAAGTAGGAGGGCCTAACTGACATCATGGGGTGCGTTGATTCAAGCGAATAAAAAATGTTATCCGAGACGTCAAAAAGTTGACCATTCAATAAATATAATAAATATATATATGCAAAAAACCGTACATAGTGCATAAAAAATACTGGATTTAATTGATTAATTAGAAAAAAAAAAATAAGAGAGAAAAATGATAGGGTAGCGTGGGATTAGGTGACCTATGATTTGGCTATTATTGGGCCATGATGGTGGTGGCCTCTAGGGCTGTGTGTAGCTGTAATTGAAGAGAAAGCTGAGATTTTTTTCTTTCTTTTGATGAGGTCGTCTTGGGTCTAAATTGACAGCTCTTGTTTTTTTTTTTCTTTTTTAGGGGGGGGGGTGGGGATGGTCCCACCTGCATGGTTTGATGCTGTGTTGGGTATTTCCCATGCATAATCTCAGTGATCTCTCTATTATTATTAATTTTATTTCGAGGGGTGTAATTAGCAGGAGATTATATAAATTTAATTATACCAGCTTGGTGGTGGTGGTGGTGGTGGGGGTTCTTGAGATCTTGTACAATTTTATATGTTCTTTGCTATGCATCTGAGTGGCGGGTTTCAGAAACAAGAAGAAGAAGAAGACATGATCGGTTTCGAAAGTCAACCGATGATGTCCTTAATGTAGATTGACCCGGGCCGAACCGGGGTTTTCGGTTCGGGTTCATGCGGGTCGGGTGAGAAAGAGCCGTGCATGAAATACCTAATCCGAGCCAAACCGTCAACACCCTTTTAAGTTTGTGTGTGTAACTGAACATATGGAACACAAACCCAGGATATGTAATAAATGCAATTTCGAGCACATACGTCAATTAGCCGCCTTGTTCGATTAAATCCCGATGGAAAAAGAAGGGTCGCCAAGCTGCATTCGCGTACAATGAGCCTTTTCCCCTATACCCTCATGCCTATAGCTGCAATGCAAGCGAGGGTCGCATTCAATGTTTTGCAATGTGCGGACACATTTGATCAAATTGAGCATTTATAGCTATAGGTAGTTGCGTAAATTTCTCAACATTATTATTCCTTACACCAATGTTGTATGAATTCTGCCACGGCGGCCATAAAATAAAAAGGAGATGAAATAATTTGATGTGCCCCGGGAGCAGTACAAATGAGCGAGTGCTTGTCCAAAATCCGAAAGAAATTGTGTTGATCATTAATGAAAAAAGTAAATTCTTGCTAGAAAAATCGTCCAGCCAGTTTAAATTTTAAACAAATTTGAATGCAATCGGTGTATAAAACATGTCTATCAAATGTCTATAGGGATCACTGAATCAACTAGCTGAATCTTAGCAATAAGGTGCCAAAATAATGAATAAATAAAATTAAATATATGTACATGTATGTAAAAAATGGGTGAAATTAGTATTTTTGGGGACTATAGCAAGAGCACGACCCTCTGGAAAAAAGAAAAAAAGGGAAATCGATTTATTTTTTCTTTAGTCATCAATTCTTTCCATTCAAATAGCTAATTTTTTTTCCATGAAATAATACTAGAAATAGGGAAATCGATTCGCCAAATAAGGCCACTTATGTTTGTTTGGGTTTTGAATAGGACTCGCTTATTTAAGTACAAATTACCGTCGTCCCAATCGCCTGTAACTTAATCTTATAAACCAAACTAGTGTTTGTATTTCCAATATAGCTCCTCCTTTTCATTCCATTGTCGAAAGGTACTTTAGAACAAAAGAAGGTTTAACCAGAGGGAACAAGAACTAGAACAAATTGAGAGAAACTTCGATTAGTGTACTGAATTTGAGCATTGTCCACGGCACTAAACTAGTCCATTTAGCTACTAGCTATACCTTTGTTAAATTTGTCTATTGCCCCACTTCATTAATAGAGCCAAGCCAGAATCAGCTTGCATTTGCAATAAAAAAAATTTAAAAAAATTTAAAAAAATGGAGCTTAAAACTGAAAAGAAAAGGCTCTTGCCGGAAATTATTCTTTGGTCATTTATAAAAAGCATATACTTAAATTTTATCATGTTGATGGGCTCGCATAACTTTTAATCTTGCTCTTTCGAAATTGTTTGACTGTAGACAAACCCAAAAGCCTAAAGAGGAAGAGTTGTAGATGGGCTAGGCTAAGTGAATACTTGGACAATTTAGTGGGCTTGTTGTTGTTCACTCTTCGAGAGGGCCACAATGTCACCAAGACACCAAGAACAGATATTTATATATCTAATAGTCAATTTTTAATGTCGTACGTAGTACTTTTAATTTGCTCGATGTGGTTATTGAGCTATTTGTAGATAAACAATGTAGCCCTTTTATTTTATCAAACGGGGGAGAGAGTTTTGGCAAGTCCCTAAACTGTTGCGAAATGTGTACTTAACTTTCTATAACTAAATCAAAAAATCGGTCCTTCACTACCATTTATAGCTTTTCATCATTACGATATTGTCCAGATGTTAATACACATTTTTCGGTCTCAATCCATATACTAAATCGACAACAAATATACTGTCTTTTTATTTTTATTTTTTTTTACGTTTTTGGTCTTTATAAATACTATGATAGTTCGATTTAAGTATATTTTAGCTTATGATCTCTATAATAATAGAAGTAGAACCTTATTTAAAGTTATATCGGGTTGAAATTATTTTGATCAATCTTAAGATGTAGGGTTGTTTTGGCGATAGCTTATTGAGAGGGTTTGCATTTTGCGTGGTCACTTGCAAGAGGTAACAATGTACCAATGTCTATAGCGAAGGGAAAATATGTGCGGATTGTAGGTGATCAAGTTGGCATGTCTTTGCCATGAAGAGTTCTGGTGTAGCCTTAATTTCGGGCTAACCTAATCAGATAAATCAAGCTATAATGCTATAACACGAACCCTAAATTTAAAAAGCCGATCAGATAGTCGAATTTTCGTCCTGCATCTTTATGAAAGACTCTTTTTTATCGAAAATAAAAGACTTTGAAGTTAAAGGAGATTCACGTGTTGAGACCCGTTTACTAATGCGCCTTTGAACATGTGAATATCCATCGGCTAAATTTGAGAGTTTATTTTATTAACGTGCCTCGCACAAATTTTTACTTTGAACACACGAATTCCCACAGCAGAAGTTCGATATCTTCGTTTTAAAAATGAGATCGATAGTATTTTCGAAGGCCCATGAATTTATTTTGAAAACATCGTCAGAAATCTTGACTTGCCGGGATATGTGAAATGCCTTAATAACCATTAGACCCTCTAAGTTATTATTGCTGAGCTAGCAAAACACATGAATAGCCAAAACAGCAACATGACCATTTATAAAATTCACGCGTCAACGCGACGGTACTTTTGGATGAATTTTCATTGTTATTCCATGCATTATTGTTGATGGTCTCGTTTTACGTCAGCTTCAAAATGCAACGTTTGTAGGAGGCGAGATCTCACCCCGTCGTTCACCGACGGGTACGGAACCCGCTGACGCTCCCGACCTTTAAGGGGGGTCGCCACGTGTCGAGCGCTGGAGCTCTCGGAAGGACGGAGCCGCGTCCTACCGCGGGTGACGGTATCGCCGCTCGCGGCTCGGCCCCCATTCACTATTTATAGGGCCGGCGGAAGGGGAAGGAGGAGGGACGCGTGGAAATGCGAGCTTTCTGAACCGGCGCGAGCGAGCTAGCGGAGCGGAGCGGAGCGAGCAGCAGTGAAGCATGGTGGAGAGCCAAGAAAACCCTAAGCCCTCCTCCAAGGTAAAAAACCAACCCGTCGATTTCCCCCCCGGCCGGCGATGCTTCCCCATCGTTTGCTGTCTGTGCTCCCGATCGTTGCTCCGATCGCCGAGGGTTGTCCGTTCCGCGCCCCGCCGTTTCCGGCGGCGGTCGTGGCCCGTCTCGTCGGGGGGCGAAATTCGGCGGGGGGTGGAGAACCTGAGGTTTTTCTGTGTTTTTTTTTCTTTGCCTGCTTTGCGGTTATGGTGGGTGGAATTGCTCGAGGTCGATGTGGCGATTGCGGGAGGTGGGGAGGGGGGGAAAACACCCCCGCCTTCGGAGACGGTAATCGCGGCGGATGGAGGGCAAATTTGGTTGGGTCCTAGCGATATTCCGATCGTGGTTAGGTTCGTTGTTAGGGCGGTGTGTCGCGGGCACGATAGTTTTCCGCCCGGAGTTTTGATTAATGGGGGGGGATAGCGGTGTTTCTTCCGTGGAGAGAGAGAGTTCCGGCGGGAGAGATTGGGGGGGTTAGCTGAGGGAAAGGGGGAGGAAAAATTTCAGTGGCGAGAGGAAAATGTGGGTCGACGTCGCGGTGATTGTGCCGTATTGTTCGGTGTCGGTGTCGAGTTTAGTTGTTATCTGATGGTCTTACGGGATGCGCGAAGGCGATTGCGCCGTTACTATCTTTAGGCTCGGTCAAGAAACTTTCGTATGTGTCCGTGCTATGTTCGTTGATTGGACCTCTTACGTCATAAGCAAGTGGATTTTGCGCGTAGGTCCGTGAGGGATTGGATCGTTGCGTAAGTAGGCAAGCGGTCTTGTGCTTCGCTTCTGCTGTTTCGACGTCAATCTGTGGCGTGCTTGCTGTTCTCTTGGTGTCCTTGTGTTGTCCTTGATATTTGCTTTAGCGGGAGAAGGAATCGATTGCTTACCTATGTGTATCGATTCTACCATTTTCATTTAGCAAATCACATCACCTGTGTGTCGAGAATAGTTATCTTGTTTGTGTCGATTGAGAATTGGGGCCGATTGAATGCTGAGATAGTTTTCTGTTTTTTGTTATTTTAAGAAATCATCTGCGAGTGGCTCAATCGACATATATGCCGTGCAATGTGGGAAATGCTACAAATGGAGGGTGATCGACTCACAAGAAGAGTACGAAGACATCAGAAGTAACTTCTTGGGGAACCCCTTCGTTTGCAGCAGGAAACCCGGCATTTCGTGCAAGGATGCGGCAGATATAGAGTGTGATGCATCTAGAACGTGGGTGCTTGACAAGCCAAACATACCAAAAACTCCAGAAGGTTTCAAGAGAAGCCTGGTTCTGCGAAGAGATTTCACCAAGTTAGATGCTTACTACATCGCGCCTTCCGGGAAGAAAATGAGGACCCGCAATGAGATAGCGGCTTTCTTGGAAGCAAATCCTGAATACAAAGGCGTGTCCATCTCGGAATTCAGTTTTCACTGCCCCAAGATAAAGGAAGACACCATTCCGGAGCATGTCGAGAAGAGAGTTTCCGGCGGTGGCAGTGGTAGTAATAAGAAATCTAAAACAATGAAAGATCAAGAATAAGCAGTTGCTGGTGATGGGTGCTCGGTTCTACTTAGGAAAGCTGTTGTTTAACGTAGTATGTTCAGTGTGATTAGCATGGTGGGGTAATTTTTGGGGGATCTCCAGGCTGGGCTCTCTGTTTGTTCCCTGGCATGCACTTGAATCTAATTTACGTATGGACGTCGTGAGAGCAAGTGCTTTGTGTGTTCCTGTGGGTTAATATTTTCTTCCAAAATGCGATTAGAGGGTACTCCAGGAAAGGAAGCTTGTTAATTCAAAGCCAGAACTGAGAAACTTGGCTCGAAGTTTTAGCAGGAGTATTCCTGTAAGCGCGTTTGCTTGACAGAATTTGGAGTGCCTCTTGCAGACACCAACTAATGCCTAGAGTTTCATTTTGGAATGGTGATTGAGTGCACTCTTGAGATGTTCTAGTGCAACATGATACAGATTTTTTTTAAAGTGTTGTATGTTGGAAGTTCATTAATGTCTTCATATAAGAAATTGGCCCATAAGCTGGCTATCGTTTGCCATTTGCAGTTTGGAACATTATTGATAGCAACGACCTGTAAACTCTCTTTGTCGTATGCGTTTGGAGTTGTGTCGAACTTTGTTTTTCATGTTGGAAAGAACCCCTCGTCTAAATATCTACGGAACTTCGAGGTCTAATACACGTATAAAAAAACATTAGCGGAGATCATTGACCTGTCTTTCTATGCACCTCTTTCTTCTGCTGTTGTCAGGTTCGTTCTTATGGATGAAAGAAAGGTGCTTACGAATCATTTTGAGGACTTGTTGGCTCGTTTCCAAACCATGGGACAAGCTTGTAACATGCCAAAAGGTATGACATATCGAGAGGCAATGAAAGAGAAACATCGTCAATACGCTAACTCTGGCAATTGTCTACTAAGCATTTGCGATCATCAATGAGAAAATGAAACCTCGCTACAAGCAGCAGCAGCAGCAACGGCAATGGCAAGACGGCTATATTTCCCTGGAGGGGATTGTCTATATGAATCTTCTTTTGTCATCGCACTCGATTCTCTTTCAAGTATTCTGAAAGATCTAAGTAGTAGCTCTAGAACTTTTACTACGTGTTGTCTCCTTCAAAGTCGTTTTTTCGTCTCTCTACCCTTTCATCCCGACTGACCAGCTCATAATCACAAGCATCTAGCGGCCTTCTATTTGCTGCAGACACTAATATGAGCGACGTCCGTGTCTATTTCTCCATCATTTTGCAGAATGAATCCAAGAAAGACAGAGTTTCACTCTTTGGAACTTCCTGATCTCCAAATTCCATCATTGTGTACGCAAACCCCTACTGTTACTGAGCACACACTCCATGTGCTCCATCGTTGGCCAACATAAACCAAAAAAAATGAAAAAAAGAAATCATACCTCAATCTCGGTAAGGAAATGAAACCTTATCTTCCATTACATTTCAATTAAGACATTGTTAGATGACCCTGCGGCTTCCTGGATTTGTTGCTGCCTTCGAATTCCAAAGCATCCAAACAGAAAACTCAAACCAAATACTCTCATGGAAGGGAACAGATCTTGTTATCGAGATACAGTCTATATCTTACATAGTATTAAGGCCATACAGATTTGCAAGAACTAGCGGTTCATTTTGGCCAGAGCACGAACTGACTAAAACAAATTGAAGACGTAACAGCACCAAATGGAGAATCCAAAGCACGATCCATCTGTCAATTTCTTATCGAAGCGGGCATTGGTCTTTGGAACAAATTAAGCTACTGATCCAAAAACATCTACTTGGATGGAAACTTCTCATGTTCCAATTGTGAGGAATAACTGGACCAAAGATGATCATGTGGAAAACTATTAATCCTTGCACCTTTTGCTATGAACAAAGTTAGTTTAGTTGACAAAATGTCTGTTAGGGTTCAACTTCCATTCCCTCCTTTATTCATGCAGAATAGTAAGCATATGCAAAGCTCTTGTTCCTTCCGAATGCATAGTGCTGATCTTACCTCCCCATTTTCCCACTTCTTTCTTTCTCCAGAAAATATCATAAAAGCTTGTGTTTCCACCAACGTAGGTATCGCATGTTCTTCCTCAAAGCACTGCACGAAGCTCCAATCTGCAAGATAAGTAGACAAAAGTCTTTGGGACAGTCGCATATATTCCATTTCACAAGCTTGCTTACAATAGAGAGCCTATTTTTTTCCAACTTGCTCAAAAGTATTTACAAACAAAAGAATGTTATCAAGGGTTCACCAAGTATCACCTTCTAGGAACCTACATTTCTCTTCTAATACAAACAACTCAGCAACTTACATGGGGCAGTAACAGGGTATGTACATCTAAGCCTAGAGGCAAAAGAAGGGTCACCTTCAGTTGCTTGGAAAAACCTGCGCTTTGGCCATTGCGTACCCAGTGTGGGAGCCAGCATTAAAAGCACAATCCACGATGTACACAGACCAATGTAAATCAGAAGAGCAAGGCCTATTTCTATCAAGAAACAGACCCAAGTCCTCTGAATAAAGAGCACAGATCCTGGGGCTCATTAGCTCCAATGCATGGAACATGTTGTCAGCTTCTCGACCGAATGCTCGCCAAACTCCCAATTTGGATGAGATCAAGATTTGGATCCTGTTTTGCATGACCTAGTCGGGTTTGGTATACTCAAGAAGCATGTGTGGGGACCGGTAAATCTTCACTAGTGTCCAGTAAAGGACCTCCTCCACTCCAAGTTCACCTTCTGCTCTTGCAGCATATATATCCTCGCAAATTGCCATCAACCTATCACAAGCCAAATATCTGCTGCTTATTATGTGTAGTAAACTATACCAGTGGATGCTTTATCCAACATCTTTTATGAAACTTTTCTATAGTGAAGTTAGATAAGCCAGAAAAGTAGTAATTCCAGATAAGGGTAAATGAGAACTGAAAGTAATCTTGAGTGAAGGTAACACAAGCACAATGGTTGCTAGTTATTACAATACCAGAGTTTTGTTACCAAGAGAACTGCTACAACAGTGGGAATTTGGTGCGGCTTTTACTTTTAGCCTGTCTTTTTCTTGAACTTTTAGAGTTCAATTTTATTTAATGTTAAGCACCTCAAATATCTAAAAATATATGAATGTCATTATCTAAAGTCACCCTAAAGTTCTTCATTATGTTTAAAAGTTACATTATAATTTAGGCGTGGGCTTTTTCATGCCCTTTTTGGCTAAAACACACCATTTTAAAATTGATTGACCAAACTACTCTCTAAATAAATCAAATATATATTATATCTGTCTCACATATAATTATCTTCTGATGTGCATATCATGTAATCCAAACCAAATAATCACTTTCATGTCATTGGCCCTATCGCGGAGAATCAGATCACCACTTTCTCTATTGTATTCGGGTTATTTAGCTTTACTTCTTGTGCACATGAATTCAACCAAAGTCAAACTAGAAGCACGAAAAAAGGAAGAACTAAAAACCTCCTTGCTAGATCTAAAAAATGATGTCTTATTTATCTTCAAATCGGCTCATTTCCACCAAATCTTGAGCATTTTTTAATCTTGCAGGTGTCACTATGTGTTCAAGATTACACGTAACAAAAAATTCAAAAGTCGAATTTGATTTCCCCCTCTGTATTCTTCTTTCAATGGGTTGTTCCTCCTTTCGGTGACTAAATAAAATTTCCTTTTGTTCTAGGTTCAAAGAGTACAAAAGAAAAATCTTTTAAGTAAAATAAAATAGTAAACTAATAATAAATCATTTATGAATTTGCACTAGAAAAAGTAACTATGAAGAGTAATTGCTGTTTAAAGGGTGATTTGGTCAGTTAACTAGAAAGGGTGTATTTTAGCCAACAAAGGTGTGGAAAGAGCCCCGCCCTTAATATATTGATTTTGGAAAATATAGACAAGGCCTTTTGCTTTGGCTCAAGGAAACAACACCTCATCCATTTTTTTGCTTTCTTCAGGAACAACAGATAGAGAAAAGAAAAAGTAGATACATACGGAACTGGCACTCTACCAAATATCGTATTGCTATTTGAAAAGCTGATAAAAAATTAGACTCGGACCGGAATTTTCATGTCTCAAACTAATATAAACCTCAACTAAGACGGACCGTAAATATGCAAGACCTACAAGTCATAATTATTCATCAAAAGTAAGATTCGATTTGTCTTCACACATTATTCTCGAGAACAGTGCACTCTTAAAGCATTAAATTAATTGGCTATTCCAAACAAAAACAAAAAAAACAAACCTTCTTCTATAATTTAGACCATTGCTCTTAAAGCTAACATTCACAATGCAAGGTACACCAATATACATCTGGACCCTAGTTATGCAAGAGTAGCATTATTTTATAAAGGCATTTCATTTCAAACTTATTCACAGTTTTATTGAGAGAAATAAAGTACTCTTATCGAATTGTTTCTGGCAAGCAAGCTTGAAAAAAAAAAAATAATGACAACTGACATCCATCATACCATATAATGTTATCAGCATATATGGGGATCAAGGTGATGAGAAAATAGAAAGAAGGCAAAATGGAAATCTACTACCTGTCACACGAAGGTAGATTTTCATAGGGTATTCTCATTCTCAAGTCAGCACACTGAAGTCTGATAAAGCGACCAACAGCCAGCACAAAAGTAATATAGAGGCCCCAGATGCTGAACTTGCTAAGCGTGTCACCAAGGATACCCTCTAAAACATATATTCAAAAAATTAGTCAACTGCAATTGTCACGCAGTATAATGATAGTTCTCTGATTCACTAGAGAAAACAATCTATACTTTTATAACTTACGGGGGGGTGTTTCTTCAGACACTACAATTGCCATTGGTCCCTTCAATCCTCCACATCCACTGACATCTGATGAATTTATATCGTGGAAGGACCACCACTGCTGTTCTGCACGATTCATGACAAGGTCTGCACTAACTGCATTCACCTGATAGTTTATGGTGGATCAGCTGTCTTTGAAATTCATATCGGTATGCAAGTACAAGTACAAGCCCAAAGAGGAGAATAAAGATCTAAAAGCTTTCCCAGCTGCCATGTATCACATCATTGATTTTAATACTAACAGAACCACCAATGGAGACAAACAATCGAGGTAGCAACAATGTTGACAAATTACTGCAGAAATTCAGTCCACTACCTAGTTAAAATTGAGAAGGGATGGGCTCCCCTCTTTCATGTCATCTAACTTCATGATATGATCGAGCAGTTCTTTGTCAATTTGTTAATTTGATCCTGATGGGTTCAGTTCTTTTATTTCAAGCAATATGGAGTGGAGACATCATAAGCTACACATGTCAATATATCGGTTCCCTGTTTCTCCCACCATTGCCAAAAATTTTTGGTGGAATTATCTAAAGAAAAATGAGTACATGTTATGAAAAGAAACTCTTTGGAGCACATCTCCCATTCAAGAAGTAGTTAATGTAAGATTTTTTTGGCCCTCATTCTTTTGACAAAGAATTTGATATTACCCACAGCCAGAAGTGAGAGAAAAAGGATGCCATGACCGCTTTTTTTTACAGGAAATT